AACCCCGACGCCGGTGGGCCTGCACTCCTCACGCCCTCTGCAGGCTTCGCATTCCCGCTGCGTGACTGTGGTCATGCCGTCCTCGCCGGAAGCCAAGGCGCCTGCCCAACCTGTCGCTGCCTGTCAGATGCCTACTCACCTTTCAGGCACCAGCTCAAATGCCACTTCCATGAGGCCTTCCGTGATTGGAGGCATTTGCTCCCTCCCTCTGCACTCCTGCGCCTTCTAATTTTCTCACATTCAGGTGGAACTTCCTTGGATTATGATTACCTGGCTGCCTTTGAGTTTGAGTAGGATGGAAGCTCCTTGAGGACAGAGTTGCATTTTGTATTGTATCTCTGTACTGTATGCTCAACAAACACTTGTTGAATGAATGAATGAATGAATGAGTGGCTTGCTATGCAGTTTTTATAGAAGGGACAATGACAAATAGTAGCTTAACTGGGGCTGGGGTTTTAAGTCCACCAAATCCCCTTTCTGGAATAAGAAAAAAATATTTTTCAAAATTGCATACATACCCACCCCTCCTCTGCCCGGATTGGAAATCCTGAATTCCCCACCGGTTGTCACGGAGAGCGCCGCTCGTTGGCTGGACTTTGGATGGATGAATGAGGGAACACATGTTTACCGCATCCCTAATAGAAACCAGGCACTGCGTGTTTGTACCAACACTTTCCCACGCCCCCGGATCGGCCCTGTCACGGAGCGAGGCACACGCCTCGGCTTTCACGGAGCAAAACAGTCTGGGGACAGGACGGCCCAGGCCGGGAACAAGGGGAGAGAGGCCTTGGGACCCGTGTGTTGAAGAATCTTGTTAAAAAGAGACAAGCCTCTGGTTATAGGCAGGCAGTGTGATTGTTTACACATAAAATATGAGATAACCTACCAACAAACTTTTAGAACTATTAAGAAGTTCAGCAAGGTTGCTCAAAAGGAAATTAATATGCAAAAGAGTCAACATTCTTTCTATCAGCAATAATCAATTAGATTGGAAGATGCCGGAGAAAAAAGATCCCATTTCCCATAGCAACAAACACTAACATATCTAATCAAAGACCAACAAAATCTTCATCGAAGGACAAAAAAGGCCAGAAGAAATAGAGAAACTATGTTTATAAATGGAAAGATATCATTTCAATCAAAAGCCCAACAGAGCTTTTCCTATGGGAGGAGAGGGTCAACCATAGGGCAGTGTCTGAAGAAGAAGCTGGAAGAGGGGAGCGGGGTCGCCGCGTGTGATGTGCCACCTAAGGCTCTGGGATCAAAGCGGCGTGACACGCGTGGAGGGGACACGGCAGCCGGGGGGGGGGAGGCTTCCTGGGCACCTCTTGAGGACCCGGGAACTCGGATGGGCCAGAGGCATGTCCAACGAGAGCACAAAGGGCTGGCTACTGGTTAGCTTGGCACATGGCAAAATCACTGAAAACATGAATTTCTACCCCAAACTAGCCACAAAATAAATCCCAGCCGGATTCAACGAAATACAAAAGAGCAAAACTTTAAAATCTTTGAAAGAAAATATAGAAGAGATCATGGTAACAAAGTAAAGATATTTTAAAAACACAAACTGTAAGAGGAAATGATTGATACAGCTGACTCATTAGAATTAAGATTTTCCGAATGACAAGAGACATCATCATCAAAATAACAACCACCCATGGGGTGGAATCAGATAGCTGCAGTGTCCATAACCGACCAATGATTAGTGTCCAGGCTACGGAAAGAACATCTACAAATTAAAGAGAAAAAGCTAACTCCGTAGAACAAAACCAGGTCACGAGCAGGCAAGTTGCAGAAGAGGAAACACAAGTGATCAATATACGCAGAGATGCTTAACCTCACTCGTAACCAGGGTACGCAGACTGAATGAAGTGAGACATGATTTACATTCATTAAATTGAATTAAAACTTTGCAGTCTGGCAGTACCAAGGGTTGATGACGTTGTGGGGAGATTAGTGGTTAAATCGGTGCAACCACTTTGGAGAGGAATTACGCCAAGTCCAGTACAGTTAACGCGATGCACACCCAAGGGGAACATTCCAGTGGGCACGGCAGACGCAGACGCGGGTGCTCACTGCGCTGTTGTTTGTAACAACAGAGACGGGCGGTGTCCATCCATACAGTGGCTAAGTGAACCACGAGAGAGTCTAATGGAATATATACTGAAAGAGGTAGGGGGCCTCGAGGACAGGAGACCGAGTCCTGGTTCTTGTGCTTCTAACTGATGACAGATGTTATACAAGTCACTGTCCCTTTGAGTAGAGAATACCCCCCCAGGTCTGAGTGCAGATTCTGCCTGCTCAGAGGGGCTTCCCTGACCTCGCTGTTTACACAACCAGCCTCTGCACCCTGACACCGCTTGGTCAAGAAGCAGAGTGGTTTACAGGGTGATTGTGGAGCCTCCGGCCAGACGGGGTTCAAATCCCAGCTTTACCAAGTACTGTTTGTCTGACCGTAGGCAAGTGATTTAAGCTTTCTGTGACTCAGTTTCCTCCTCTGTAAAATGGAGATAATAATAGTTTTGCCTCAGAGGGTTGTTGTGAGGACCGAATGAGTTAATATCCCAGACTTAGAACTGTGCCTGACATAAAGGAAGTGCTGATTGGCAGTAAATCAAACGGCAGGTAAACTAATGAAGTAGGCTGGAGTGAGCGGGTGCCCCTTGTAAACAGGCAGCTGAGTGAAAAGAGTGGATCCCACCTGCCTCTCGCCCTCCCCTGGGCTTCCCTCCTAATCACGGGCGGCACACGATGGAGTCTCTGGTCTCCCCTGCAGCCAGGTGTCCCTCACGGGTTTCAGTTCCTCTCCCCTGCTGTCCAGGCCTGTCACAGCCTGGCCAAGTGGGTTTTGGGCAATATTTATGGAATTGATTGAACTGAATTAATTCTGAGAAGTCCTTGAATGCCAGAGGATGTAGACACCATTGATTCTCTCCAATGGTTATTTTAAGAAGTTGAAATATGACATGAGGAGGGTGGAGGCAGTGGAGCAGGTGAGCGACACAGACACCCAGAAAAGGAGTGAATCCAGAGGCAAACTAAAGAGAAAAAGCTAAGTCCCAGGGCAGGAATTCTGCGAGTCCAGATCAGGGAGTGGTGGCTTCCCCAGCCCCTGTCCGAAGGCCTGTCCTAGGGTCCACTGGGTGACTGAAGCATTAACTGCCATATTCACAGAGGATTCTGTGTGTAAAGAAAGATCTAGAAGGATCCAGGCAGAGCCCTTAGCCCTGGTTACAGGAGGGCGAGTGGGATTGGGTGGGGTAGGGTGGAGGCAGGGGTCAGCGGAGAATTTTTTTACTCTATATACTTTTGCTCTATACACTTTGGCATTGCTTGAGTTTTGCACAGTGAGAAAGAATATGTTTATTGCATGTGAAATATTTAAAAGAAAAATTAACTTTGCACATAAGAGGTACTCAATGAACAGGCATTAGTATTATTCTTTAAAGCAGAGACAGAGACCTCCCACCCAGCACAGAGGTCCCCGGCAGGAAGGAACCCGGTGGCATCTCCTCCTCACACGCTGGCCCCTCAGCCAGCCTCACTGGCTCTCCCTGCAAAGTACATCCTGAATCCAGTCGCCCAATTGCTTCTCAGCGCCCCCACCACCCTCCGCCTGCCCTGCTCATCCCCTGCCCAGACCTAACATAGCTTCCTTGGTTCCGCTCTGGTAGTTAGGTAAAATCTCCACTTTACGGATGCAGAAACTGAGGCACGGAGAATTCAGTAATTTGCCCCAGGTCCACATTGTGAAATGGCAGGGCTGGGATCCAACCCACGGGGGGGTGTGCCCTTCGCTGCCCCCACATTGCCTCCCTCGCAGCCTGTCTGTGCCCTCACCTCTGAGAAGGAATCGGAGCTTGCACTCTGGCTACAGGCCCCATGTGATCTGGCCCTTGCTGGCCTCTCCAGCTTTATTCCCATGCCCTCCTCCTCACTCACCACTCCCCAGCCTCCCTGGCTCCCTGGCTGCTCCTCCATCTAGAACATTCTTTCCTTCCTGATCTTCAAATGGCTTCTTCTCTCACTTCACTCAGGTCTCTGCTTGAATGTCACCTCCTCCAGGAGGGCTTCCCTGACCACCCTTTCTAAAACAGTCCCCATTTTATTCTCTGACTTTTTCCTGCTATAATTTTATTCATAGATCTTGAACTTCCTGATGTGATATCACAAGGTTACTTGTTTGGTTGTTTATTATAAACAATTATGTCTCCTCTCCCTAGAATTTCTGCTCCATGAGGACAGGGATTTGTCCCCTGTGCCTGGAACAGAGCTGGGCACAGAACAACAGTGAAGTAAATAAATAAATGAGCCCTAGATGGCCCATGTGGATGGACTCTGGGCCTCTTTAGTGCCAGGTCTGGGCCTGCTGTCTGGGGCTGCTAGGAACGTGTCCACCCCCCTGCACGCATGGCCCCTCTGCCCTCTGGGTCAGTGGTGTGGCCCGTCCTTCTGTCTGGGGCCCCTGGGCTGGCAGGGCAGGGGTGAGTGAGAGCTTCCACATTCCTTCCCAGTTCCTCCCCATCCTGCCCCTGCATCCACCCCTCCCCTCGGCTCGAGGCTTCCACCTCTCCAGGCGCCTGGAAGCAGGTCTGACAGGTCCATCCCCACCGAGGGGATACAGACAGAAGTACAGCCCTTCCCATTTTACATGCAGCCAGGCAGGGGAACCCTTCCCTCCCAGGTCTGACTGGGCCTCGGGGTAACTTCCCGGGCCAGGGTGTGTGCGGGAGATCCTGACTTAAACTGGGGGAGACGGGCATCACGGGCAAGAAGAGCGCTGAGGGCGAGAGAGATGGGCCCCAGTTCACACGGAGGGTCAGGGACGGTACACCTGGCAGACCCCAGCCTCAAAAGTCACAGCTGCCCAACACCCCATTGCGCCGCCTCATCCTCTCCTGTCTCCCAGAAGTCCTGGCTTTGCTCCCAAAAGCATCCCTGAGGCTCGGCTTTGGGGACTCCCCAGAGGCTCGGGCGCCCAGAACAAAGAAAGGCCTTACCCATCTCAATCCCGCAGATGACCAGGGCAGCGATCACCGCGCCCGCCGACGTCCCCGCGAAGCGATGGGCCGTGTCCAGCATCCGCGGGGCCAGGTCCCGCAGGGCATCCACGGCCCCAGCCTGGTAGAAGGAGAGGAAGCCGCTGCCCGAGAAGGAGATGGAATGAGGGGTGTCCGGGTCCCCCTTGAACACCTGTTCTTCCATCT